GAAAGTGTTGACTCGTTTATTACAGCATTATACTCGCTGGTGGAGACTTGTGAGTATGGCGCGCTGAAAGAAGAGCAAATTCGAGGTCGGATAGTCATCGGTGTGTGAGACATGCGCACATCAGAGCATCAATTGGCGGCGGATTTGATCATGGAGAAGGCCCTAAGCATGGCTCGACAGGCCGAGGCGCAAGCAAAATAAGGGAAGATATTAAGAAAAGAAAAACTAAACAGAGTTTTTCATCCATGTTCCAAGAAGAACAAAGACGAAAAGAAGAGCAATCAAGAACAGAACGAGCTCAAGAACAAAACACAGAAGAGCAGTGAGAGCTGTGGAAGGTGCAGTAAAGAGAGGTATACGGATTGGAAGAGATGTCCAGCAATCAAGGCGGCGTGTAACAAATGTCGGAAATTTGGTCATTGAGAGAAGATGTACAAAACGAAAAAGATCGCAGAGTCGAAGAGCAGGAGGACAGCGAAGACAGCGATACGTCTCCAATTTTTTTAGGAACGATACGCGAAAGTGCTCAAGACATTAGAGAATTTACCGGATGGGAAAAAATTATCAGTCGCAGTTTAAGGTTAAAATTTAAAAAAATATATAATACAACAACAAAAGCAAAAGCATATGTATTGAATGGGTTAAGACAGAACTTATTAGGTAAACCGGAATTAAAGAAATTTTAAAGCAAAATAAATGCGTTACAATTGGGAAGTATGTCACAAGTACGGCTGCATATAGAATTGGCAAAGATTTTTAAAGGCTTAGAAGCATTTAAAAGAAAGTTGAATTCAGTGAACATTCAGTTTTAAGAAAGAATACAATACCGTATTTCCAGTCCCGCGTACTGTAATTTCCATTATTAAAGAAGCTCAAAATAGAGTTAGTCAAGCTAGTCAGAAAGGGCATTATTGTATCGGTTGACTTTCTCACAGAATGGTATAGTTCAATAGTGGTAATTCCTAAAAAAGGTATTGAGCAAATAAGAATCTGTGGAGATTTTACACAATTAAATATAAGTGTAAAAAGAGCTCATTTTCCAATTCTAAAAGTTAGTGTAACTTTGTCGAATCTAAAAAGCTCCAAAATTTTTTCAAAATTAGATGTGAAAACGGGATTCTATCAAATAAAATTAGAAAAAGAAAATCAATCGTTTACAACTGTAATCACGCCATATGGGAGATATATGTTTACTAGACTGCCGTTTGGTATAAATTGTTCACTAGATTATTTTACACAATGATATACAGATATTCTGCGAGATGTGCCCGAAGTAGAGCTACATACAGATGCTGTATTAACTCACAGTGCGAAGAGCATACCAGAACACTTCGTTTAATTTTAAGTTAATTACAAGACGCAGATATAACGCTTAATAAGAAAAAATGTATTTTCGAGGTAAAGTAGAATTTCTAGGGCATGAAATCTCTGGAGAAGGCATAAGCATTTTGTCAAAGCGGCTGAAGACAATAACGGACTTTCCAGCCCCGACAGACAAGAACTCATGCAATTTTTATAGGTGCAGTAAATTACGTCAGTAAGTTTGTGTCAAATAAATCACATGTATTAGAGCTACTAAATTCATTACTGAAAGATAATATACAGTTCGTATGGCTTGAACAGCAGGAAAGAGCATTCAATAAATTAAAAAAATTACTAAAAACGGCACCTACATTGTTGCATTATGACCACACTAAGAAAATGGTACAAGCAGATGCATCCAGTTATGGATTAGACACAGCGTTAATGCAAATAGCTAAAGACGATAGTCGCGAAATAGTAGCATATGCGTCAATTACATTTAAAGAAGCAGAAAAAAGATATAGCCAGATAGAAAAGGAGGCATTAGTTCTCGCTTTCGCCACGAAATATTTTAAAGATTTTGTAACAGGAGGTAAGAGACAGATCATTAGAGACAGATCATAAACCGTTGTTACAAATTCTGCAGAGTAAACCATTGGATAATTTAACGGTTACAGAGAATCAGGTTAAGATTAATGCGGTATAATTACAAAATAGTTTATGTACTAGATAAATAACTGATTTTAGCGGACTGTTTATCCAGTCAGAGTCAAGAAATCCAGTCAGTGTCAGTGAGTCAAATAGCAAAGACGAGTTGCCTCAAAAGATAGATAGTTATGTAAACTTCGTTATTAGTAGTCTTCCAGCTTCTAAAAGTATGTTAAACAGAATAAAAGGCGAACAAAAAAAAGATTACACGTGTTCGAGACTAAAGGATTATTTTACAGGAAAATGGCCGGATAAGAATAGGTTAGAAGATGGATTATTGCCTTTTTATAATCTTAAAGAAAACATCTCAGTGTGCAAGAATTGGTTGTTATATAATTCAAGGTTGGTCATACCACCGAATTTACAATTAGAAATCTTATCTAAATTACACGATAGTCACGCTGGTATTAATAGATGTAGGGAAATGGCAAAACAATCGGTTGCCGGGTATATAAGTAGTTAGCTAAGAATCTTAGTGGAGAACTGTCCAAATGTATTGAGCAGAAAAAAAATATTAAAGAATCTTTCTGGAAAGAAGATTCCATGGCAAAGGATAGTGATGGGTCTGTTTAAATGCCAAGACAAATGGTATTTACTTTTAACGGATTATTATAATCCGTTATATATATCCGGAATATTATATTTCAAAATTCTTTGAAATTTTAGGCTTGAAATCTCTAGGTAAAAAAACAGTAATTAAGAAATGCAAAAAAGTTTTCGCAAGAGTCGGGATACCAGAGATCGTAAAAATGGATTCAGGAACTCAATTTTTAACAGAGTTTGGACAGTTCGCCAAAGAAGAATACGAGTTTAAACATGTATTCGCCTAAATACTCGCAGAGCAACGGCGAAACGGAATCAGTAAAGGTGGTTAAAAGAATTTTAAAGAAATGTAAAGACGTGCACAATCTTCTATCATAGATCAATACCTTTGGATAATGGTTACTCACCTGCAAAATTGATGTTTTCGAGGAAAGTGCGTTTATTAGTGCCAATGTTACCTGCTAAGTTAGAAATGTTCATAAATCACAAAAAAGTTTCAGTATTTAAAAAAGAAAGAAAAAATTAATTAATTATAATAAAAGGCATCAAGTAAAAATGTCAGATTTAGTAGTAAAAGATAAAGTATGGGTTATAGACAAGCAAATCTATGCGGAAGTTACTGAAGTAAACAAGAACCCAAATTCTTATTGTAAGAACGGTAGTATTCGATGACAATCGAAATCGATAGCACTTAATACATGCACCATATAAGGACAAGGAAGATTTAGCATTAAGTAGAGATGAGTCAGTCCTCTAGAAGAAGAGGTAGAATACGCGAATAGAGAGCGTTCAGAAGGAGAGCAAATGGAAAAAGCGGATCAGAATGTAAAAGAAAAGATGATGATGTCGAGATAGATATAAGTCAGAGACAGTGAACGAATAAGTGCGAGATCCAAAATCAAAACGAGTTGTTAAACTAAATTCTATATATAAGGATTTTGTATTGTAAGCTGTAAAGAATAAATGTATTGGCTTTTTAATAAAAGGGAAAGGGTGTTGTGTGAACGTGCTTTAAAAGCCACTTGGGCAAGTGGTTATGGAGGCGCTCACGAAGGGTGCTGGTGGTAGAGCACTGAGGTGCATTTATAATGGTGAGCCGATCATGGGGATGAGGCCAATAGGTACTGGCTCGAAGTGTACGTGATACACAATATCTTGTTCCCAAGAAATACCACTACAAATATATAATTAAATATATATGTATGATAAATGTATATGTATCAATTAAAAGTCTTAATATGCATTTTATATTGGAGTAATATTAGTTTTTAACATTTTATAATTGTCTTTACCCTATATGTGTGTGTACGTATAATTTTATGATATTTTAATAATTAACGTCTTAATAACATCTTTAACATTAAATAGACATCGTAGAAACGTTATTAATTATTTTAATATATATTATAATATGGCATTCTGCTCCTTAATATGTTATATTGCCACAATATTACTCTGATAAATTGCAGTAATGCTATTGTGACATATCATAAAAATATTACTGTAATATTTCAATGTTATTGATCAATATGTAATATATTGGGTGGATCCATATATTCGTTCGCTTTTTGAAGGCTAAAATGAAACAAGTTTTTTTCATACAAAGGATGAATTTTAATCAATAATATATTCTCCGTTTTTGTTGATGACCTCTTGCCATCTTTCCAACAATTTCATTATTCCGCTCTCATAGAAGGTCTGGGGCTTAGAGGCGAAAAACCGGTCGAGGTACGTTTTCACAGCTGTCTGATCAGCGAACGATTTCCCGTTGAGGGAGTTTTGCAGGGACCGGAACAAGTGATAGTCGGATGGCGC